GAGTGCGCCTCGATGGGCTCTGTTCCGGTCGACCAACCCTTGCACGATAATGGACCGCGCGTCGAAGCCTGGTTCTCTAGGGTCAACTGGAACCCTACGTCCTGTACTGTACTGACGCCTATCATCTGGCTGCCGAGGAGCGTAAGACCCACCCCTCGGAGGGGAATAGGGCACTCGACGCCTATCATCTCGGTCGAATCTGTCGCCATATTGATCTCGCCGATTCTCGCGCCCTTCGTGCCGCGGAGGCGATCCGGGGCTGTGAGCCGACTGAACCGTATTCACAGTGACGGATCGACTGTGAATTCTGTTGCGCGACTGAGACACGGCTGAATTCTGATCTCCTGCTGCCCGGAGCAGATCCCTGATCTGCAGCAAACCTCTGCCAGCTTCCGACTGCGAAGGTGGATGGACTCTGCTATACGGGCCGCAGCTGCTAAATTCTGAATTGGGGTTCGATATACCTGAGTCGGCGGGAAGAGTTGACGTCGACTGGTGTCAGGAACTCGTTGCCGCGCGCGCTCGTCGAGTGCTCGCTGAAGGTTCTCCAGTCGAGTGCGCTCGGCCAAATTGGCCAGACGCGCCTCCTCCAAGGCACGAGCCTCGGGGGTTTCTCCTGCGATGGGAATACGCAGGGGATCCTCGTTCCTGCGGTGAAGTTCCTCTCTTTGCAGAGAGTCGAGTGGCTCGGGCTGGTACTCTTCGTAGCCTCGTGCAGGGTCGCCGCCGTCACCTGCTCCACCACCACGGGCGAAGCCAGGAGGGCTGTGGGGCCCGTCGACCATCAAGATTTCCGCTGCTGGATCACTGCTTCCGCACTCGGATGCAGTCTCTACGGAGCCAGTCGACTGATCGAACAAGCCGTAGAGAGATTCGTTGGGCTCGATTGCTGCAACTTGGGTAGTGGCCGATTGGCGAGCCACCGCGTGACTCACCCATCGCTAAAGCCTCGACCGGCCTGAGCGCTTGCGCTGGCGGGAGACCGGGAGGGTGGACGATGGAGGAGCCGACCGATACTGGGTCGACGGTTGCCGCAGCAGAACGCCGCGGACACATGCGCGAAAATGCGTCGCGCCGCGGACGGGGAGTGCATCTACGTCGAGTGGAGCCTCCTGGAGCCATGCGGAGTCGTCGGCGATGAAGGTGAGAGTGCCGAGACGGATCTCTTGACCCTCGACCAAAACTCCAGCAGACACCATGATGAAAGTACTCGGAAGAATCGCAACTTCTCCACAAAATCGCTAAAACACCGGCCCCACGGTGGGCGCCAACTGTCGTGGTTCTAAACCTGACAGTAGAGTGGGGGGTAGGTATGGAGAGGCAAGGTCCTAGCTATGGAGAGGTTGTAAGCACAAAGGATGTACGAGTTCAGGCCCTTCTCGGAAGAAGTAACAACCCTACGTCTCGGAGCCCGGAGGCGGTCGAGTGGATTATGAGTGTATGAACTACAAGGTGCCGAACCCCTCTGCCTGTGGAGGGGGGTGGCTTATATAGAGTGCGCCAGGACCCCAGCCAGCCCACGAGGAGAGGGTTTAAGGTGAGTTAAGTCTGGGGCGTTACTGGTAACGCCCCACATAAAGGCCTTTACTATCATAAAGTCTACTTGATTACAGGCCGTTGCAGTGCAGAGTGCCTCTTGACCTCCTGGTGGTCGAGTGGGTCTTCGTGGTCGAGTCCTTCAGGCCAGTCGAGTGAATCCTCGTTGGTCGACTGGAAGGCGACCTCTTCTAAGGATGTCCTAGGGTAAGTTACTTGGATCAGGTCCATGATCCTACCCTAGGTACATAACCCCATCACAGTCCTTATCAATTATCTTGGCAGCAAATACAATCATACAAGTATTCAGAGGAATTCAGAAGAGGAGGACAAGAAAAGGAGTAGCATGTGAGGCTGGAGAAAATGTTCACGAATTATTGAACTGAATGAATAAAGCGGACTTTCGGAGCACGGGTGCATTGAAACGGACGCGGCTAATCTTCACCCGAGCTCATATGCTCCTGCATGAACAGTAAAATAAAAAAAAATCAAAAAAATTTAAAAAATTCCAAATTTTTTTGAGTGAAACATTGACAAAAGTTCTAAGTGCCTGCAAAAATTCGTCATGAAATCACATTCCTAGAAGGCGTGGCAAAAAAAACAAAAAAAGTACTCTGAAAAAGCTACTTTCAAACGCATTTTGAAGCACTGAATTTATTTTTTTTGCCACGCCTTCTAGGAATGTGATTTCATGACGAATTTTTGCAGGCACTTAGAACTTTTGTCAATGCTTGTCTAAAAAAAAATTGGAATTTTTTGATTTTTTTTCGAATTTTTTCGATTTTACTGTTCATGCGAGAGCATATGAGCTCGGGTGCAGAATGGACTTTTCGCATTGAAACATGTTTTTTGGAACTCCTCAAAAATGATGTTTAAAAGATTTTTTTCTTTACATAAATATGCATGCATGTGGTCTAAGTATGTGTGAAATTTCGTTCAATAATACGTTATATTATATGCTTGTAACAGAATGTCTGAATGCTGTGGTTTCATTTGGTAATACAAGTGGAGCCGGGGCCGAGAGCCCTTTTTCTCTAAAAAAAGGCAAAATCTTGGCCTCAAATCGACAAAAAAAACAAGCCCATTTTTTCATTATTTGTCTTTTTTAACTGTCACATGCAAGCACGTATATTCATGAAAATTTGGCCGATATACTACATTGCTATATATGTATGTAAAAGAATCTATTTTTTTTTATGTTGTAAAAATCTTTTTGTTGAACTTCATAAACCAGACTCAGATGACAATATTTGGGTAAAAAAAAGCATTTTCTATGATGCACGCACTATCCTTCAGTGTTCTGACATGCTAATCTGTGTCTAAATAAGCCACATGTTTCTTCCGACACCTGTGTATACAAACCTCAAACAATATATTAATCAAAATACTTTCCCAGATTTCCACTCTGTTCATGTGCACTTGGACTGCCGAACATGCATATATCCGGTACAGGACAAGGTCTGGAAAGGTTGAGTTTATTTTCGTAATTCATCTTGGAGTCAATTTTCTGTTTGGGTTGCTAGCTAGGGTAGTATTGTTTATAAACAAGAAAAAAGAAGGTGCCACTTGCGCCCCTGAATAGGTAAATCTATTTACCAGAAAAGAGGGAAAACAAAATTCATCCCGTGTCACTCCCACAAGCGACATGGGCATCTCCCTCACGCCAGTGCCCATTTCTCCGCCCCTTTCCTCACCACCGCCGTCGGCTACTAGGCTTCTTCCTTTTGCGTGGCATATGGATGGAATGGAGCAGGACCACATCATCAAAGTCAGTGTCCTCAATCCCTAAGTGCAGCATCAACTCCTTGAGATCAGCCTCCGCAGCAATCAATGCAGAAGAACTAGTCGCCATGGAAACTCTAGAAGCATCTACGAGAAACAACTTCAAAAAGAAACACCCATTGAATACCCCCCCAGACCACGTGTGCCCAGGCCAGGTAGGCGCCGCTAGGGGCGCCCCTTTGTTAGCCCGAGCGAGGACGATGGAGGAAGAGATCGTTGACGAGGGAACAATGCTCAACTCCAGGTCGCCTAGGGCATCTTGTGGCGGCGGCTAGGGTTTCACCGAGCCGCACCCTTGGAAGCGACGCTGACGTCCACCAAGCATTTTGCTTGATACGTGCATTGATCAAAATGATCGGCACCGACAAATTGCTCTACTTTGGTTTTCCACTTCTACTGCTTATTTACCCTGTCGAATAAATTAAAAGCTGAAAATAAAAACATAAACACGAGTTTCTGGTTTAAACACCCACCCCAAGCCATAATATAAAGAGCCCAGACAGAGTGTGGTCACACGAGTGTGCCCACAGAAAGGCTGGCCGTTTATCCGCTGCTCTGGAACCTGCACACTGCCCAGTCATCCCACACCGCTTGTCTTTCCTTTTTTACACAAATAATAATAATCTCACACAGGCACACCATTACCACCTCCCAGAGGCTAAAAAAGGGCTCTCTTTTTTCCTCCCCCACCCTTCTTTTTCCTTTTCTAAATCCCTCGTGCATCGCCTCCCAAGCCGGATCTACAACACGCGCAGCACCTCAGTCAAATCCCCGCATTTCTTTACTCCCGTCGCCACTCTCAAGTAGAGTACGCTTAATTACGAGCAGACTAAGTTAAACTCCCAAGACACAGAAGCCAGGGAGCCAGCCAAGAGCAGAGCCAGCAGCTCACAGCAGGACACGCGCAGCCGCTCGCATTCTCTGTGCGTCAGCGCAGAGCTCCCCGTGAGGGTACGGCGTGGTCCGCTTCTTGCTCCGGAGGAGGGCAAGTGCGCACCACCCTTCCTTCGTGCCGTCTTCACCTGCGGCGATCTCTTCTCTTTTGCGGCGAGGGAGCCGGCGGAGGAGGAAGAAGCAGCGGGATATCAGGTGGTTTGTTTGCCCCCTTTGCTTGCCGCCGTCCTCTTCTCGCGACTGCGATGTCGCCGCATTTGTTGCTGCGCTTCTTGGAGCCTTGTGCCTGTTTGTCTTCTCTGATTTTCCGCCCCCAAATCCGCCGTCTCACTTGCTGCGCTTCGATCTCCCCTCCAGTTCGTCCCGGGGGTTCTTTCTTTGCTGCAGGGAGCGAGCAACCGTGATCGAAATTACTAACACTCTTCCGCCCGGTCCGGTCACTCGCCGATTTGCTTGCTTCCGGGCACCCTGATCCTGGCCCAGCCCGTCCGTCCATGGTCCGATGGTTCATCTTTTTCAGTGCGCAAGATCGATCTGAGTTCATGCCAAGGTGAGGGCGCGGCTTATTTATTGTACACATTTGTGAATGCATTGTTACCATTCCGCGCAATCTTTCCATAAGAGCATTTCGCATCATTGATTTTCCCCCAAGATTCATTTCGCATTTCAGGAGTTTGGTGCTTAGCAGTTTCTGTTCTTGTAGAGTGATTGATTGAAGTAATGTGCCTGGTCTTGATATTTCAGCTTGGATCCAGAATTTGCAAGAAGCCCTTAGTAGATCATAAATAATGTCGCCGAGGAGGCTAGAGGCCGTGGCGGCGCTGTTCATGCTCATGCTTTTCAATGCTTCAGGTACTTACCAGCACATGGATGCTGTATTAAATTACACGGTGCTCTGCACATGGTTACCATACCTCATTGTGTCGATGCATCTGGCATTTTGATTCCCCACTGTGCCAGTGGCTAGTTTGAGGAAAACATACTTTGTTTGTCCTGAACTGAAGGGAAAAAATCGATAGAGAAAACTGAAGAGAATTTGCTTGATGTGTACAATCATATACTCGCTCCGTCCCAAAATAAGTGTCGCTGATTTAGTACAACTTATCTGCTTTTGTATCTAATTTTTCGTTGCATAAAAATCTGTTGCTGTTTTCTGTTCAATTGTAGGAGCTTTTGTTGGTATCAACATTGGCACTGGGGTGTCTGACCTGCCATCAGCATCAGACATAGTCTCCACCCTTAAAGCCATGAAGATCCAACATGTTCGCTTGGTTGATTCAGACCATCAAATGCTAGTCGCCCTCGCGAACACCGGAATCGAAGTGATGGTCGGGGTGCCAAACGATCAGCTGCTCCGCGTGGGGCAGTCTCGTCCGGCAGCTGCTGATTGGGTCAACAAGAATGTTGCTGCCTACACTCCGGCAACAAACATCACGTATATCGCCGTGGGCGATGAGGTTCTAACCAGTATCCCAAATGCAGCTCTTGTTCTGGTACCTGCATTGCAGTTCCTCCAGTCAGCACTGTTGGCTGCAAACCTCAATACCCAAGTGAAACTATCAAGTCCTCACTCAATGGATATGATCCCTAAGGCATTTCCTCCCTCCACCGCCACTTTCAACTCGACGTGGAGCTCGGTAATGCTTCCATATCTTCAGTTTCTGAAGAGTACAGGATCTTCCTTCATGCTGAATGCTCAACCATACTATAGCTATGTGGGAGGGCAAGGTGTGTTCCCTTTGGAGTATGCCCTGTTCCGATCACTCAATCCCAACAGTCAGGTTGCGGATCCCAACACCAATTTGTTCTATACCAACATGTTTGATGCTATGGTTGATGCTGCGTACAACTCGATGAAAGCCATGAATTTCACCAATATTTCTGTTATAGTCACTGCTTCTGGTTGGCCATGGCGTGGTGGGCGAAATGAGCCGGCTGCTGATGTTGACAATGCTCTGGCCTACAATACAAATCTCATACGCCATGTGCTAAATAATTCTGGTACCCCTAGCCAGCCAAATAACCAAGCAAGCACATACCTATTTGAGTTGTTCAACGAGGATCGTCGGGCTGGACCTGTTTCGGAGCAAAATTGGGGCATCATGTTTACCAACGCAAGTGCGGTGTACTCCCTGACATTTGAAGATGTGGCCACAAATAACACTGACTCGCCGGCTTTGCGCGGGATGTTTTGTGTGGCAAATTCAAGTGCAGCCCATAGTGCATTGAAGCAAAGCTTGGATTGGGTATGTGGCCCTGGCTCCGCAAACTGCAGTGCCATTCAACCTGGGCAGCAATGCTATAAAGCAGATGACATTGTAGCTGTTGCTTCGTATGCTTTCAACGATTATTATCATAGAACACAAGCGAGTGGCGGTACATGCAACTTTAATGGCACAGCAACCATATCATCTATGGATCCAAGTAAGCTGAACTGTCTCTTGAGTATCCATTTCTTTGCTGAATTTTCTGTCTTATTATTCAAGTGTTCCGAAAAAGGGTCCCCCCCCCCTGCTTTATTATTCAAGTGGTAACTGTTATGATCTTTGCTATTACCACTTTATTTTGTGACATGAGCCTAAACAAATTTCCTCCTGAATTTAAACTTGCAGGCCATGGATCATGTGTTTTCGCAGGAAGGTGAGTCAGCATTTCCTTGGTGTTATTGTAAGCTCAAACTTCTTTTGTTGCTCTATACTGACGATGAGGTTTGATTCTACCTGCAGCACCGGCGCTAATGGCAGCAACACTGATGCGGCTGCTGGTCCTGTGAGCCAAGACAGTTTTGCCTCACAATCCCAGTCTTGCTGGTTGACTTGCCTAGCTGCTGTGCTTCTGCCTGTTGTACTTCTCATGTAAAACATTGTACTGTATGTTGTATTTCAGATGAGACGTGTCGAATTTCTCGCGCCTCTTGTCATTATTTAGAATAGGGAGCCATATTGGTCTCAGTGTATTGAGGTAGATGACATGTATCTCTGGTAAGAAATTGTTCTAGGAATGAATGGACAAGGTGCACTTATTTTGAATGTCAAGTTGGAAAACTTTAATCCTGGAAGGTCTACTTTCTTGAAACATTGGAAGATCCAAATTCTGTGTTGCACATATATCTTTATTTCAGGTGTACAACTGACACCAGCTTCTTCCTCCTTTTCTCTGAGAGCTCAGGATCTTAGCTCAGCATTTCTTTTTTAAGATCTCACAAAGCTTTATTACTGCATAGCAAAATGCTTCAATGTTTACAGGGACGAAGACAAGATCGCCGGGCTGGCCTAACCAAACATTGTGACCATTCCTTAGAGTTAAAGCATGCTTTGTGAGATTTCCGGCCTCCACATTTAATGTCCTAAACTCTTAGCCCAGCGTATATTACCGGCCGCAACGGTGTCGGAGGCGCGGGCCTCCCGCATGGCGGTGGTGGAGGTGGTTCCCTCCCACTTGGCCTTGGTGCTGCTGCTCCCGTCACTTGGCATTTCTCTCCAGTCTTCTTGGCCTCGTGTTGGTGCTCGCAGTAAGACAACGTGGGTGGCGGCGCAACCGTGATGGCGCATGGTGTTGGGCGGTGGTTTGAGTGGCTGGCTCCGGTTGGGCGGTGAGGTTTGGAGTGCGGGAGAAATCCTTGCCGGTTCGTCCGACCATTCCTTCTTGGAGGGTGTCGGTGGTAGCCATCCCCATTTTCTTCCGCCTATCGGGGGAAACCCTAAGACTCGTTCAGGCAGCAGCGTCGTTGGCGTCGCATCCCTTCTTGAAAGTGCTGCTTGGTACGCGACAGATTGGAGCCTCGGGCTGTGGTGGTTTGTCTCCGGAGGGCGCAGCGGTGGCGGGTCATCCGCACTTTTGTCGAGCTGCCGTTGTTGACATTTGTTTCTTCTTTTTCTTTTGCGCTTGATGTGCTGTTCACCCCAGCAATGCTATGTGTACGGTGTTGGTTGCTTTGGAATACAAAAGCGGGGAAACCCTTTTTGGTATATTGCCTGACAGAAAGCCGGGCCAAAATATACTTTTATTTTCTGGGCCGAAATGCAAAGAGTTATGCCTAAGTGCTTTTCCACAATGGGCTAAGAAAGCATTGAAGCCCACCACGCCAGCCGCCAAAGGGAAGCAGGAGAAAATCCCCAATTCCCCGTTGACCCATTCTTCCCCGGCAACCTAGCTCGGCGACGGCGGCCGGCGGCCGGCGCGGGCGGGCGTTAAGTTCAAGCGAGCCTGCCAGCGGCAGGGCGTCGCTGTGCCGCGCTGCAGGGACGGCGCGGAAGCTGAAGCTAAGCGTAGACTGACGTCCGAACAGCACTAGGATTAAGGTCTGTTCCGAAATTTCAGAGCTTGTGATTCGTGAGCTATGAACTGATGATGCAGTTGTCTCAGCGACAGTTCTTCGGATTTCACCTTATTCGGTTTTGCTCTGCCACTGGCCGCAGCCATGTCCTCTTCGTCATCTTTCCCCGGCCCCCGCTTCCCTGGCGCCGGCGCTGGAGCCTCTGGCGGGGGCGGAGGCGGAGGTGGTGGGAGCGGGAGCAGCGTGCGGCCCTGGGGATCGAGCGGAGGGACGTCGGTCTCGTCGTCGGGGAAGCGGATACAGAAGGAGCTGCTGGACCTCAACGCTTCCGACTGCTCCGCCGGTCCCAAGGGCGACAACCTCTACCACTGGCTCTCCACCATCATTGGACCCCAAGGTATAAGATTATGGAATCCTTTTCACTTCCTCTTCGCCACTAGCCCATTCAAGACAGGGAGAAGCTCTTAGGAACTTTAGTTTATACTAGTTTAAATTGTGCCATCCATGGGATATAATTAGTACTCCCTCCGTCCGAAAAAGTTTGTCCCTTAAATGGATGTATCTAGCCTCAAGTTAGTGCTAGATACATCCATTTGAGGGATAAGCTTGAGACAAGCTTTTTCGGACGGAGGGAGTATAAAGTATGCACTTGTAATTTGGTTTAACTTAATATATCAAAAGGCACCCGTAATTTGTTTTAATGCAGTGTTTTTCTTGTAGGGTCACCATATGAAGGAGGGATATTTTTCCTTGATGTCGTTTTCCCACTTGATTATCCTTTCAAACCTCCTATGGTAAGAACTGATAAGTAACCTTCTTTCGTTTGCTACTGTTTTCTTATGTGACGTGTAGGTTAGCCGAGTTAGGAGGGCAGCAATATCCCCCTGGTTCTAGAAAAAAACAATCCTCAGATGTTGCAAACCTAAGTTCTGTAGAAGGAATGTGATTTCTTTAAGAGAATGTGATATTTGCATATTCAAAAAATCAAGTACAGCCTCAAAATAGTTCGTAAAGAGTGTTATTATTCTTATTGTGTAATTGGAATCTGATTTTCTTTCATTAAGAGCAGTCTTCATAACATGTAAACAGACTAATATAGTGTATGACCAAAGGGGTGAAATTTAATATGCATTAGTAAATTAGGAAGGAGATGCATCATAAAAGTCTGTTGTCCCCAAACTTCCACAGTCTACTACCGTAATTCAATAAAAAAGGCCTAGAAAGAGGAAGCTGTATCGAGCTGTCCATCAAAGAATTAAGATTGATCCAGAAACAGCATGTCAATAGGAAATTTTTTGGAAGCATGGAGAAACCAGCAAGGATTAGAACACTATAAGGAGCACAGATTAAAAGAAAAGTATTACGTAAAAGCGAGTTTACTTCGCTGCTAATTAATGTTGCTTTTGTTTACCCGAAAAAAAAATGTTGCTTTTGTTTCTTCTGAAGTGACGTATGTTTGCCGATGCCTTGAGTGTAATAAGACATTATGCATCTTTCCGTCATAATGTCGGCCATGTGTAAAGAAACATATCTGAAGTTTTTATTTTACAGTTGCTATTCAGGAAAAATAATTGTGTGTGGTTGCTGAGATGTTGTTTTCTTAGGTGTCCTCCTGACCTATGTTGTGGCAAGCTTTTAGCTAATGCTTTGCCGAGAAAAGATTTTCTGGAAAAGGATTTTGTCCACCGGAAGCCTTATTACTGTGTGATTGAGATCACCTTTATCCTTTGTTGACATATTGTTTGTATTGGCATATCTTGGCTTAGAGCACAAGTCTGATAATTTTGTAAATTAGAAAGCCTGATACACATATATAACATATCTGTCTATTTACTGGTTTGGAGGTCCAATTATTACCTTTGACAGATGACTTGGTGGTAGGTTGAGACGGGAGGGGTCAGAAACAGCCAACCTCCATTTTCAGATCTCAGCAATGGAACAATGCTAACACTACTTTCACCTACCCCACAGCTGTACAGAGTGCTACATTTACCATGACTAGCAAGATGCCCGTGCATTGCACGGAGCGTCAAGATGCATTTTTTTTTATAAAACACATGTTGTGATTGACCCATGCGGAAGTAATCCCATGTGTAAAAACTAATGATATCTCGAGAAAGAGAAGAGATAGGGTGAGGAGGAGTGTAAAAACCCATGCGGCCACCATGCCAGATTGTTCCAGAGGTTTCCTTTTTTAATTGCTCAACAATGAGGTTGTGGGAGATAAGGATGAACAAGGGAAGGCCTTATCTGCAAATGTGGAGAGAGGTGCAGGTATCTTTTTGCAAAATTGCCATAGTTTGCTTTCTATCCGTCAGATATAGATCAAACGGTCTATCTTGCAATATGGCAGGCACACCATCATCACCAACTCGGTTTTTTATAAGAGTAGAGACAAGCATATGGCACCATGCATAAACGAAATGTAGGTCACCACAACAATTATAGTCCAAACAATAAGGCAGGAGCATGTGAATTTTCTCAAGGTTTTGTAAAATAAAAGATCTGCCTGCTATACTGTAGGCTGTAGCATACCAACATATATGCTGTACGGCTCTGATGTTTGTGATTTTACAACCAATGATTGTCATGATTTTATATCTGACAGTTATATTTTATAAGTATTCTTACATTGTCTTATGTTCTGCTCTAATGTGTTAGATTTAATTGCTGGAACCCAGTAGTATAATTTAGCACTGGGGGACCTTAACTTGCGGTTACAAACTGACAGTTGTGCTGTGACTCTTCGAGGTGACTTTCAAAACAAGGATTTACCACTGCAACGTTGATTCCACTGGGGCAGTGAGTTTGGAAATTTTGAAGGATGGCTGGAGTCCAGCTTTAACTATTTCAAAGGTGCTACTGGCGATCAAAGCCATCATCACAAATCCGGATCCATGTATGTTCCAACATTACCAGTATCATTCTCTGAATTTAGGAAAGGGAATATTCTAATACTACTGTATAGTGTCTACATAGTTGTTGCTTCGTTTCTACTGGAAAGCCTTACATTATGATGTTTTGTCTGTGCAGACAACCCACTTGTGGAGAGCATTGCACGTTTGTACCTGACTGATAGAGCTAAGCATGATGAAATAGCTGCTGAATGGACATTGAGGTTTGCAAGATAGGGAGTCCTTTCTGCAACTAAATAAGGAAATTTGACTCTGTAAATGAATAATCTTGTATGTAACCTGAGATATATAACGTTGGAAAGGATCCAATACATTAATCTGAGTTGTGCCATAAAGATGTGTTTGCATTATTTTGATGTTTAGTTGTGAAATTGGCTTTAATGGTTTACTTCTCAAAGTTATCCCTAGCAATTCTTAAGTTCAATTCTGTGCCCACTTGATTTGTTCAAAGGGAAAAGTTCCTGGTAGTATGGAAGTTTCAGTGGCCAAAACACTGTTGTATATCAGTCAAACTACGAAAAGGCCTACGAGTCAAATCTTTCACTTGAAACCAAATTTTCGCTGGCTATCATTCCTAGGTTGTTGGGCATGGCTTCAATCATACATGAATGATGTTTATTTCCAAAACTCTGCCTACCTTTTATCATTCCCCTGTACAGTGGTTCATG